AAGAGAAAAGGATGAAAACCATATGATCATTTCAATAGATGCAGAAAAAGCATTTGACAAAGTACAACATCCATTCATGATAAAAACCCTCAAGAAAGTAGGGTTAGAGGGAAGATACCTCAACTTAATAAAGACTATATAGGAAAAACCCACAGGTATATCATACTGATTGGTGAAAAACTGAGAGCTTTTCACTAGGATTGGAAACAAGACAAGAATATCCACTCTTACCACTTTATTAAACATAGTACTGGAAGTCTTAGCCAGAGCAATCATACAACAAAAAGAAATAAAAGGCATCCAAGTTGGTAAGGAAGAAGTAAAACTTTGACTATTTGCAGCTGACATGATACTATGCCTAGAAAACCCTACAGACTCCACCAAAAAACTACCAGAACTGTTAATGAATTCAGTATGGTTGCAGGATACAAAATCAGTATACAGAAATCTGTTGCATTTCTATACACTAATAAAACAGCAGAAAAAAGAAATTAAGAAAACAATCTCATTTGGGGCACCTGGGTGGCTCAGTTGGTTAAGTGTCTACCTTCAGCTCAGGTCATGATCCCAGGGTCCTGGGATTGAGCCCTGCATCAGGCTCCCCACTCAGTGGGGCATCTGCTTACCCCTCTCCCCCTGCCCCTCCCCCCCACCCATGTGCACTCTCTCTCTCTCATTTGCACTCTCTAAATAAAATTTTTAAAAAGAAAATAATCCTATTTACAATTGCATCAAAAATAATACCTATGAATAAACCTAACCAAGGAGGTAAAAGACCTGTACTCTTGTAAACTATAAAACATTGATGAAAGAAACTGAAGATGACACAAAAGGGAAGACATTCCATGCTCATGGATTGGAATAACAAATATTGTTAAAATGTCCATACTATCCAAAGCAATCTACAGATTTAATGCATCCCTATCAAAACACTGACAGCATTTATCACAGAACTATAACAACAATCCTAATATTTGTATGGAATCAAAGAAGACCCCAAATAGTCAAAGCAATCTTGAAAAAGGAAAACAAAACTGGAGGCATCACAATCCCAGATTTGAAGATATTCCACAGAGCTGTGGTAATCAAAACAGTATGGTACTGGCACAGAAAAAGACACATAGATCAATAGAACAGAGTAGAGAGCCCAGAAATAAACCCATGCTTATAAGTCAATTAATCTATAACAAAGGAGACAAGAGTCTCTTCAACACATGTTGGGAAAACTGGTCGGCTACATGTAAAAGAATGAAACTGGACCACTTTCTTACACCACATACAAAAATAAACTCAACGTGGATTAAAGACCTGAGAGACCAGAAACCATAAAAATCCTAGAAGAGAGTGCATGCAATAATTTCCCTGACGTTGGCCATAGCAACGTTTTTCTAGACATGTCTCCTGAGGTAAGGGAAAGAAAAGCAAAAATAAACCACTGGGACTACATCAAAATAAAAAGCTTTTGCATAGTGAAGGAAGCAATAATCAAAACTACAAATAACCTACTGAAAGGGAGAAGATATTTGCATATGACATATCTGATAAAAGATTAGTATCCAAAATATATAAAGAACTTATACAACTAAACACCCCCAAAAGAAATAATCTGATAAAAGTATTGTGTATCGTGTCTGCTGACACAAATAGACATTTTTCAAAGAAGATACACGGATGGCTGACAGACACATGAAAAGATGCTCAACGTCACTCATCATCAGGAAAATGTAAATCAAAACCACAATGAGACATCACCTTACACCTGTCAGAATGGCTAAAATAAAAAACACAAGAAACAAGAAGTGACGAGGATGTGGAGAAAAAGGAATCCTCGTGCACTGTTGGTGGGAATGCAAACTGGTGCAGCCACTGTGGAGAACAGTATGGAGGTTCCTCAAAAAATGAAAAATAGAACTACCATATGATCCAGTAATTCCACTACTGGGTATTTACCCAAAGAATGCATAAACACTAATTTGAAAAGACCTATGCACCCCTACTTTTATTGCAGCATTATTTACAATAGCCAAATTATGGAAGCAGCCCAAGTGTCCAACGACAGATGAATGGATAAAGAAGAAGTGTGTGTGTGTGTGTGTGTGTAGTATTATTCAGCCATAAAAAAGAATGAAATCTTGTCATTTGCAACAACATGGATGGATCTTGAAATGCAGTATGTCAGAGAAAGACAAATACTATATGATTTCACTTATATGTGGAATTTAAGAATCAAATGAACAAAGAAGAGACAAATAAAAAAACAGACCCTTAACTCTAGAGAACAAACTGATGGTTATCGGAGGGGAAGTGGGTGGGGGATGGGTGAAATCGGTGAAGGAGATTAAGGAGTGCACTTGTGATGAGCACTGGATGACGTACAGAATTGTTGAATCACTATATTGTATACCTGAAACTAATATAACACTGTATGTTAACTATACTGGATTTAAGAAAATAATAAAAGTGGAATTTATGGAGTGCTTGCTATGGGCCAGGCTCTGTGCAAACAATCCTAACAGATAGACATTAAATGGGGTACTATTATTATCCCCATTTCACCAGCAGTGAAGTGGAAGTCCGGGGGGTAGGGCAGATTGCCCAGGCTTACACAGATATTAGGGGAAGAGCTGGGACAGAAGCCATGACTTTCTGATTCCACAGTTTATAAATTCATAACCTTTGGGCTAGTAGTCTTCAAATGCTTTTGATTTTGCAGCCCTTTTGGGAAAAATTTCTGAACTGAGATCATTTAAATATGTATAGTTATTTATTTATAAAGTGGACTAATATATTTTGTATACTATAAAACATTTATGAAAATAGAAATTCAAAAGGATTTACAAAAGAGGAGAGAATTATTTTAAATAATTATTTTCTGTTTTAATTTTTTAGTGATACCAAAAATATTTTTTGCTCTCACCAGATATATATTATTCTAAATAACTTCATATGCTTGATTTTTAGATGCTTGTCATTCTCAATGGCTTCATGTTTCACTGGCAAAATCTAAAATCACATTAATATACATTGAAGGCCTATCATTAGCAATAGCATATGTGTATCTGTATTTCAAATGGCCTTTGCATGGTTTCTGGAGTTTTTTGCCAGCTTCTTATCAGGTCAGTTTAGGTCACCTTACTCCTACCTCCCCATGTGGCTGGCTGATTGCTCACACTAGGTAGGAGGCATGGTATAAATGTTGAGCATTTTCTCATTGTTCTTCTGTGGCTATTTTACAGGTTCTATCTTCCATCTGTACTTCTCTTGATTCCCACTGTGCTGAAAGGGACTGTGCTGCGCTCAGGCATTTAGAGGCGAATCAGCCATGGTTGAGCGCTCATGGAGCCCCTGGTCTGGCTTAATTAACTGATAACTGCCACTGAGGGCTAGCAGATGTGGCGGGGGGGGGGAGGTCAGGGAAGCATCAGTCATGGGGGGCATACAGAGCAGGAGAGCCAGCCCAGTTGAGGGGGCAGAGTGCTGGTGGGGAGATGTTTGCCAGCAGTAACGCGGATGGGGAGTGTCAGGGACCTACCAGGCAGAGGGTAGGGCACGAGCAAAGGTGAGAACACAGAGGTGTGAGAGACAGGGGTGTACATGGGGGACTTGCCTGTCTTTGGTACCGAAACAGCACAAAGAGGAGTAGGTCAGTAGGGGCAGAAGATGATGCTGGGGCGGGTCACTGAGGCCTGCTGGCAAATACCATGAGCCTCCTTACTTAAGGCATCCATAATAACGATTATCCTAACAACAATAAGAGGAAGATGTAAAAAAGTACCCATAAGAGCTCTCGGGCACGTGGCTCTGTGCTCTGCCCGCACCTCTCATAAATAGAAGGTGAGTTAGAGCCCCAGGTAACTGCTTTTCCCTGGCATTGCCTGTCAGCCAGGGGCAGGCCTAGCACGTCCACACGCTCCCAGTTACAGCCTGCAGCCACTGTGGTCAGAGGCCCTTCCTTTTCCCATCTGATTGTGGCTCCAAATGAGGGGAAGGGAAAGCTCACAGGCCCTAATGCACTTGGGAGTGTCACTAGGCAAGGGCCCTGTCCTGGCAGGGACACTTGGAAGACGCCATCTATTGTCATGAGCTAAGAAGGGCTGCACTGGAGGTACCCCATTCCCTAGGGACCAGGGTGGTTTAAGGCAGTGAGTAATTAGGACTGTTAGAGGAGCAGCCCTTTAGGGACTCAGGCCCATGGGCTCCAGCACATCATTAGCAGCTGCTTTGGAGGCAGAGAGGGAGAGCTAGAAGTCCTCTCCTGGAGGAGGCCGCAGAGGACGGTTAAACAGGTACTTCCCCTGTAGATCTGGACCCTGGGTTTCCCTTCCTTCCTTATCCTTCCTTCCTGTCACCACCCCCATCCCCGCCAGCTGAGTGCACCATAGCTTTCCATGCAACGGAGTGTTTTTCCCTGGCAGATCATTCCAATTACTCTGCCTCCATCGGTAGCCCTCTCAATAATGGACATGCTGGAAAGTTCCCTGAGAGCTGAGACTAATGCTGCTGGATCAGACCTGACTTTCACTGTGTGTCTATTAAGGTGCAACTAAATGTTTTCTTTGTGCTTCTTTAGCTTTTCTTCTGATCATCAAAATAATACATGCTCACTATTGAACATTTTGCATTTGCAGCCAAGTGAAGGGGAGCGGAGACAAATTGGCTCTTAGGTGTCTCAGAGAACAGCACTGTTAGCATCAGGTGTGTTTTCTTCTTGGCATTTTCTGGTGTGTGTTGTAGGTACTCTGTAATTTGCATCTTGCTTTCTTTCATTTACCATTTGGCATAAATGTCCTCCCTCCAACATCCTATCACGTACATGAGTGGACCAATTATTTGCCAAATAGTTCATTTCCCTGTTATTTGTGTTGTTTGCAGGTTTGTTTGCTTTGCTTTGCTATCAGAAATTCCCTGCCATGGTGAACGATGGTATTGGCCTGAAGTGGGACTTGGCATGGCTCTGAGAATGGAAGGCTCCTGCCCCACGACCCAGTGTGCATCTGTACCTGTTGTCCTCAGGTCACCCGGGGCCTCGGCTTTGGCAAAGCTGCTCACGATCTTGAGGTCTGGGAAGAGGGTCACCCCTTGGGCACTTTCAAACTGGGTGGTGGGTCTCCAGAGGCGGTCCGTACCCCGGAGGCTGATCTGGGGCTCGATGGCCTGCAGCACCATCACATAGGCATCCACGTCGGGGACACTGATGCACACATCTTCTCCGAAGCACCTGGGAAAACAGTTGCGGTCACCGCACTGAAGAGCGCGCCATGAATGCATCTACCACGTAGCCGGGGACGAGGAGACACACAACCACCTCTTGTCCTTGCTGAGGTCTCTGGACTGCCTCGGGGTCTCAGAGGGTATCAGCAGACATTCAGATTGAAAGCCACATGATAGTCAAAACTAATAGCCATCTAGGGACTTAAGAGGATTGGCTTCTGGGAGAACTGGGAACCTTCGGTCCCAGCAACAAGTAACTGCTAAACCTTTAATTATCCTTTAACAAAGTAATCAGTGGTAACATTAATTAGCCACTGCTTGGTATGTGCACTAGAATTTGGTAAGCAAATTGCCGTCTAACTGGTTGGGTACAGGCATCTTGCTGAGACCCCAGGGCTGAACTCTCTTGCGCTCGTGTATGTTGTCTCTCTACGAGGAGCTCCCACAGTGCTCCTGTTGTAGATGTGCCACGGATCATCTCCTTTCTCCTGATACACTGCCACAGAAACACCTGGAAGGCAGAATGCTGTGACCGCATGAGCAAGGCCTGAGAAGTTAGACAAGGTCCATGGCCTGGCTCTGCCACTGTGGGTCCGGGTGACCCTGGGCAAGGTGTGACTCTTGGGAACCTCAGTTTCTCCATCTATACAGTGGGGATGGCAATAATTAATTACCTCATAATAGCAAGGATTAAATGTGCTGACATATAGAAAAGAAGCCAACGCCAGAGGCTGCATCGTGGGTGGAGCTCAGTAAATGTTGGCAGACCTGACACCCTCATCAGATTGCATCAGGCATTCGAGTCACTGCCACTCTCTGCTGCTCATCTGGGCCAAAGACCTAGGCTACAAGAGCCCCGGGGCCCAGATGGCCGCTCTGGGAATGCTGGGTGGACTCCAGCTGGTGGTGGCCATCAACTTGTAGCCCTTGGGAAAGTTCCTGAGGGAAGCACAGTCTGGGTGGACACCATGCTGAGGCACTCCCTCTTCTTTGGGGTGGGCAAGTTGTGGGAGCAGTGGTGTGTTCCTGCCCCTGGTTTTGTCTGGCCTTCGCTGCACCAGTCCCAGAGGGCACCGTGCTGCTCGTCAGTTTATGGAAGCCTGGTCCCTCTCTTTGACTGCAGTGCAGAGCTGAGCTGGAGGTGCTTGCTCCCTATCGCAGGCCTCCAAGGGTGGCCCTTAGTATGAAGGTGGGGGAGTGCCTCCTCTGTCACTAGAACTACTGAATATGATTGCTGCCTGTGGGATTTAGCCTGGCACCTGTCCCTGCCCCAGTAACGTGGCAGTCAGCAGACCCATCTTTCCCAGCCTTGTTCCTGTCCTCTGGCTTCTTCTCCCGGCTCCAGGGACTAGGTGATTCCCCTTCTGCCTGCCAGGAGTTTTTCTGGGGTCCCATCCTTGCTGCCCTACCAGGCAGTTGCTGTGGCTGAGAAACGATTTGATGGACCAAGAAGGGAATTATCCACAGGCTTCACTAATAAAGAGTCTCATCTCCTTTACTGAACTCTGATCCCCTGGGGACAAGAACCATACCCTCTCTCTCTTGCATACTTGTGGTATTTAGTTGCTCTACAAAGCTGGGCTGGCTGATTTAATCCAATTTAATAAACATTTGTCAAGTACCTACTATGTACCAGCTTCTGCAACCTTAAGTCAGACCACTAAAAACCAAGCTTTCTGAGAATTTACGGGATGCAGTACTACATTGGATTCTGAATTAAATAGAGAAAGCTGGATTTGTGCTGGCAAAGGAACAGAACAATTTCTTTCTGAAGAAAACAAGAAGAGAACACAGATCCATTGGGGCATCCTCATAGGGATAGCAGAGAAACTGCAAATAGCAGACAAAAGGTGAATTCTGTTTTGCCAGGGAACATTCCCCAGGGACCATCCCCACCACCTCAGCTGAGCCCCTGGCTGACCAGCGTCTGTCTACTCACTGGACTTTGGAAGAGACTCTCAGGTGCCGCACACCCGCCGTCGGGAACTGCCTGGAGTTGATGTAGGACACCTTCTGGAGGGCACGATTGATGTTCCCAATGTCGTCACCTTCCATCACCAGGACGGACTGCGAGGGGTTGAAGTGGTACTGGAGGAGGAAACGGGGTGGTGGCATGGGGGACAGTGATCAGCAACGGAACCCACCATCTCCATGTACAGGGCATGAAGGCCCAGTGTCTCCAGAGTGTCTGCAAGTGTAGCAGCCATGCACACGGATGACAGTTTTATTTTTTTACACTCTATTTTTTGGACTATGTTCAGTTAGCCACCATATAGTACATCATTAGTTTTTGATACAGTGTTCAATGATTCTTTAGTTGCGTATAACACCCAGAGCTCTGGATGACTGTTTTAACCCCTCAAACAATTCCTGCTACCCCTGGGGGGCTTCCAGGCTGCCCCTGTAAGATCCCCGGGGGTTTGAAACTCTTGAGCCACAGGATGGGATTCTGAATCCCCATCACAGGGCTCTTATGGTCTAGCCCGTGGTGGGGTGGCCCCTGCCCCATGCCGCTGTGGGGTCCTGAGCAGCCTTTCAGCCCTTGGACAGCCTGCCCCGTCAGCTGGCTGCCTAGAATTGGGGGCTTTGGCTCCTTTAACTGTTCTGGTCTTTGACCTTAAACTGCTCCTCAGTTCACCCTGTGCTCCCCTTCCTGATCCATGCTTCCAACCTTAAAGCTCATTTTTCAGTTAATGGCTCTCCTTCTCTCTTAGATCTCATTCCTGGTCTTGCTTCCCCGGGGCTCAACTCTGCTTTCCCAGGAGTTTTGCTCACTTGCTGTGTTCACTCGTGCCAACTGTCCCGGGCCTATTATCTGTTTATTCAGCTCACAGTCCCCCGTATCCCACACTTGGTGAAGGTCTGGGGGCTACGATGCTCTCCACCCAGTCACTTGAGTCATCAAACCAGATAAACCAGGTACAGACTCCTGCTTCTCCCTGCAAAGCCCCCGCAGTTACTCTTCCTGGCATCGAGCATGGAGAACTGCCATGGGATGGACCCGTTTGCTGATCTTCACATGCCTCTGAGCAGGAATTATTATCAGTAAGATGTCAGGAGTTTATCAGTGCATTTGGATGATGTGTCCAAAGTTCATGTCACAGGAAAAGGAGATCTGGATATATTTTTATCTATTTTTAAGTAATCTCTATACTCAACGTGGGACTTGAACTCACAACTCCAACTGAGTCAAGAGTTGCGTGCTCTTCCAACTGAGCAAGCCAGGTACCCCTGATCTGGATATATTTTTATGTAGCTACTTGGCAGCATTTTTCTTTGGATAATATATTCACATAATTCAAATATACATATGTACTAAGTGAAAGTGTCCATCTTATTCCTATCTACCCAGTTTCCAATATCCCATCCCACAAGGAGTCACTGTTATATTAATTTCTTAGTGCCAGATTGCATTACTGTTCATTATTAGTTGCTTCCCCTCCCAGTGGGAGGCTTATACATGCCTGTCCCATTGTCCATAGACTTGACTATGTGATGTAGGGAACGCTTTTCTGCAAGATGCACATTTTTTTGCCCTGTTGTACTCAGTAGTGCTCCTGTGACTTGCTTGGCCAATGAAATGTGGGCAGAAGTATTATCTGGCTCACACACATGTGGAAGATTTCACAGCCAGTTCCTGGTTTGCCATGTCCCTTTCCCTCTGCCATGAAACCTGCCAGGTTCCCTTAGGGCCTGGTCCATCAGCCTGGGTCTCACAGTGGGGGTGGTATATGGATCAGAGCCAAAGCCAATATATAATGGACACTGGGTGTGGACAATAAAAAAAAAAAAAAGTTGTATAAACCACTGAAATGTTTTAGTCACTTGTTACTGCAGCATTACCTAGCCTATCCTGAAAGTTATACTTCAGCGTTCTTAATGAATATAGATTTCGTTTTCTCTTTCTTCCACCAATGGCAGCTTTTTACATACTTTATTGTACTTTAATTTTTTTACTTAGCTCATATCCTGGAGACTGTTCTGTGTTAGTACATCATAAGATTCCTCTTTTTTAACACTGTATAATATTCTACTGAGTATAAAATTATAATTTATTTAACCAGTTTGTTATGGACATTTGGATCATTTCCAATCTTTTACTAATAATGTGACAATGAATAATCTTGTGCACATTTCATATGTGTGCAAATATATATCTATTGGATAAATCCCTCCATGTGAAATGGTTAGGTCCAAGAGTATATGCACTTTAAATTTTGACAAATGTTGCCCAATTCCCCATTGCTAGGAATGTTTTCAATATACACTCCCTCTCCCAGTGTATGGGAATGCCTCTTTTCTCAAAACCTCAACAGAATATGCTGTCATTTGGGATTTTTGCCAGTCCGATAGGTGATAAATGCTACCTTAGTGTAGTTTCAATTTACATTTCTCTTGCCATGAAGGAGACTGAGTATGTTATTATGAGTTTAAGGAAAAAATCCATCTATATTAACTTTTCCCTGATCTGACTCGGTTGTCTTTTTAAGAGTTCCCTATTCTGTGCCTGGACTCTTAAAAGGAGGTGGGTATCCCATGAGTAGTAGTGATGATACTGACCCACATAAGGTCCCTGTAATGTGATCCCTAGCCAACCAACAGCTTAATCCTTGCCTCCTTCAACTATCATTTGTTTTACTGTTACCTCCTCCTTGAGACCACCCCAGCTTCCCTCATTTAGGTCCCCACTGGGCTCCTATAGTGCATTAAATGGTAGTACTATGATTACATACAGTGACCATGAGCTCACAGAGGACAGGGGCTCCAGCTCTTAACCCTGAATCCCAGAACCTAGCCCTAGTACCCTGCAATCCCATTAGATGAACGAGTAAATGTTCCCCCTTGGCCCACATTTTACTCAGTATCATCTCTGGGTTACTCCCCAAAAAGACTTTTTCATTCAATGTCTTTTCAGCTAAGGCTCTGTGGGAGTTATTATCAGCACTCACTAAGCTCAGCTCTCCTTTGCATGCTCAGCATCCTGGAGGCTACACTTGGCCTCAGCCATCTGCCGTGTGTGGGCGGGCCACATGACTGCATCTGGCCAATGAGGTGTGAGAGGAAGTGAGGCGGGGCTCCTGGGCCGAGGCCGTGAAGAGCCCTGCAGGCAACTCCAGGCTTCTTCCTCCACTTTGGTGGCTGGGGTGTTCTCGGCAGAAACCCCACTCTACCTCCTGGGCTTGATGTGGGAGAATGACAAACTTTTAAGCATTAAAGCATAGGGATTTTGGAGTCATTTGTTAATGCAGTATTTTAGCCCACGTGGAAAAATTGAGCCCTTCCCAGGCAGGATTCTCACCCAAGGCTATGTGGCATCTTTGAAAGATCATGGGCTGTGTGGATTGCAGTACCCCAGTTCCAGTACAGACTACAGAATACAATTTTGGATGATTTACTTTGCCTTTCTGGACTTCATTTCCTCATTTAAAATAATGGGGATAGGGTGGGGGCGGAGCAAGATGGCAGAGGAGTAGGAGACCTGGATTTCGTCTGGTCTCAGGAATTCAGCTGGATAGGGATCAAACCATTCTGAACACCTACGAACTCAACAGGAGATGGAAGAAAAGAATAGCAGCAACTCTCTGAACAGAAAAGCGACCACTTTCTGGAAGGTAGGACGTGCGGAGAAGTGAATCCGAGGCGATATTCGGGAAGATAAACCGCAGGGGGAGGGAGCCTCAGTTAGCCGCTACCAGCAAGTGATAGAGCCACGGTGCACAAAATCAGAACTTATAGAAGTCGGCTCTGCTGAGGGACGTCCCTCCGGTGGCTAAGCGGGGGGTGGAACCCTCACGGGACAGTGTGGTCTCAGGACCCTCGGGGTCATAGGAAGACTGGGGGTGCCTGAGTGCAGCAGAGCTCCCAGGGATCGGAGTGGGAAAGCCAGCTGCAGAGACGGAGCCGAGGAGTGGGCTCTCAGCTCGGGGTTGACATAAACCTTGATTCACGGCACAGTCAGGCCACTGCTCCTCCAGCAGGGACCCAACAAGCGGCATATCTGGGGAGACTCCCCTTCCTCCCCCGGGAGGAGAGGCGCGGTAGCGCACCGCAGGGATCTGCTGGGTTTGGAGACTCCACA